AGTGAGAATTGGTAGTGGTGCTGCCTGAAAAGCATCTTACCCTATATTAGTAGTTATGGTTATACTTCTAGACCACAATAAAACATACATAAATCACTAAGACAATGGGTAAAAACAAATACTCTCATCTACTTTTCGCATTAAGAAACTGACTCTTGGACATAAACTGTACTTATATTAATAAGCTAAATGTAAAGAAACTTGGAAGCATTTGCTACTTAGATCCTGTTTTTCCTTCAAAGAGATATTATTTCCAAAATAGACCTCAAATATGCAACTTGACATTTCAATATTTGCTATATTAGATAATAAAGAAGCCCAAAGATAGGTATGTTGATATTTTGTTTCTATATTGGCAACCTTGATCTTACTTTTAAACTTTGTTATGGTTTACTATGAGGACTAAGTGTCTAGTTAGCTGGTTGGAGAGAACCTGACAGCACCATAAATGGATCAAAACTCAACTGAATCACAGACTCTGAAAATAAAACTGACAAGGTGAAATGAGAATTATAGTGACTTCTGGCTATCCAAAAACATTTAAAAGCAAAACCGCAAGTAATAAGCATTGTGTTATAACTGAAGAACCTAACCAAACGAAACCAAAACCTTCAGCATAAAGCCCTGATCCACTTAATTGTCACTTAAAAAGTCCTGTCTTACTATGGCTGACCTGATGTGATATCTCAGCCATAGTAAAATGATTTTAAGACATGGATTTAAAAATTCAATTAGGAGACCTTTTTAATAACACAAATCTACAATAACTGAAGATATCTAAAAAGATTAAAATGATCTGAATATATGCCATATAAAACTCTACTGTTAACCTTAAATCATAAATTTTCTCAGTTGAAACCCATCAAAGAAATATTTTGAAAGAAAAAGTACAATATTAAAGATTAGACCTTCTTTATCTTGCTTTCTAAGTTTGAGTGCAATAGTAACCACCACTGCCCCACACATACCACCAAGTAGATTTTGTCACATCTGTATGTTTTAACATTTACTATTATACTGTGATGTTTCGAATAAATGAACAGACTGTCTCCAAAGGGATGAGGGGAGCAATTCTAAAAATCTGGGGCCCTAGAGAACCTTTTAAGGAGGTCCATGAAATCAAAACTATTTTCTTAATACTAAATACTATTTTTATTGAATTTTTTAGAGAGAGGGAGAGAAAGAAACATCAATGAAAGAAACATTCTTTGGTTGTTCCCTTCATGCACCAGGGATCAAACCCAAAATCTGGGTATGTGCCCCAACACCTTCCAGTGTACAGGACAACGATCCAACCAACCAAGACACACCGGCCTAGGCAAAATTTATTTATTTATTTATGTATTTATTTATTTATACTGACACTTGCACTGATTGTGCAAAAGAAATGGTGGGTAAAACTGCAGACACCTGAACACAAATAAGAACAGTAGCACCAAATAATTAGTCATTATTGTACCTTCACTGCTATACTCACAAAGAAAAAAGGGGGAAATAAGTCAGTTTCAGTTAACAATGTCCTGATAAAGCACTAAAAGTTAATTTTGTTACAACTCTACCCTTGAGTATACATCTTTTTAATAGCAAATATGATGAAAAGGAGTATTGGTTCTATAACATGCCGAAGGGTGATGGTTTTTTCATGCTACTATTCAAGATGTGCAGAACCAGCCACTTTTTACAGAACACAAGTTTTACTTGAATGACAGAGTATGGTTATTCAACAGACATTTTCTAAAATGAATAAGCCTGTCACTTAAGAAAAAAACCTGACAATATTTGTTGCCAATACTAAAATTCCACCTTTCAAATGAAAATTAGAGTTTTTGAAAAATCTGTATCCATCACCATGAGCTTGGCAGTGTCCCAACACTTTTTTCTGATGAGATCAGTTATATTAACAAAATTTTAAACACTGCATAATAACATGTTGCTATTCTAAAGAATCGGGGGGAGAACCAAAATGGTGGCGTTGGTAAATGCCTCTACTCTCCACCTCCTACAACCACATCAAAATTATAACTAAAATATAACCATCATTAAGAACTGGCTGAAAGCATGCTGAATGGAAGTTCTACAACTAGAGAAGAAAGCATGAGACTGGTAGTAGGGGTGGAGGCACTGAATGAGCTGGTCTGACACCCAAGTGTTGTTTTTTTTTTAATCCAGAGGGATCTCTCGGCTACAGAACCCTCCCCGCCCCCCCAACCCCAGTGAGAAGCAAGGGGTCCCAGACCCACACCAGACCCCCAGCCCAGGGTTCCAGGGCTGGGAAGAGAAGTCCCTCTAAAAACCAATGGAAATTGTAGCTGAGCGATACATAAGCTGCTTGAGACCTAGGTGTTCCTCTTAAAGGGCCAGCACACAAACTTACTCGGACTCAATCCCTCAGAACTCCAGTGTCTGGCAGCTTCGGGGGACCCAGGGGCAAATGGGGAGGTACTGCATTGTCTGGCATTGGGTTAGGAACTCGGGAGCGGCTTTTTCCCAGACAGGGGTCCCTGTTCCAATGCTGGGACTTCACCTTTGCAGAGCTGACACCATATCTGAGTCTCCATCAGCCTGAGCACAGTTTGCTCCACCCTGGTGATTCCCTGAGACCCTGCCCTATCCAATTTGCAGCCCCACCCAAGCTGTTTGTAGCAGCTTTTCTATATGAATGGCATGTGCTAGTTTGGGCTTCAGACTGCTAAATTTTCTCAAACAAGCAGTAGCTGGCATCAGTGTGCCCCAAACCTATCAATAAAAGGCCCCAAACCCAGCACTAGCATGCTTTGCTTCACAGCTAGGTCTCACCTGGGCACTTCACAAGCCCAATACAAGTAGCAGCCATCTTAAGATCTCTCTGATGCTCCTGCTGGGTGGCCCCAGGGCCAGTGCACCCTTTGACAGCTTTAGATCACACAGGATTACAACTATAGACACCCACAAGCCCACACTCAAGGGGCAAACTCAGCACTAAACAAAAACCCACTGAAGCAAGTCTTGCTCCTTAGGGGGTCTTCTGCACAGATGCTCTTCCACTGTAGTTACAGCTGGTCCTCACAGCCAATTGGCCTTGAGGTCAATTCCTCCCAGTGATGCCAACAGCAATTAAGGTATAACTACAAGACTGTGCACACAGACCAGAAAGAGGTGCACCTAGAGTGCCCAGCTCAGGTGACTGGAGAGGCTGAGCCACTGGGCCCTACAGGACACCTACTACACAAGGCCAGGAGACAGAGCAACTGTAATATATAGAAAACAGAGAAGCAGCCAAAATGCAGAAACAAAGAAATATGTCATAAATGAAAGAAATGGAAGCAAGCAAACTACAGGATACAGAATCCAAAACCATGGTTATGAGGTTACTCAAGTTTTAATGAGAGCTTCAAGAGACTAGTGAGACATTTAAAAATATTAGTGAGAATGTCAAAGACATGAAAAAGGATCAGTCAGAAATTAAGCATACACTAACTGAAATAATAATTTACAGGGATTCAACAGTAGAGAATTCCAAGAATCAAATCAATGATTTGGAATACGAGGAAGCAAAAACACCCAATCAGAACAGCAAAAAGAAAAAGGAATCCAAAAAATATGAAGAGTCCAACTGGTTTAGCTCAGTGGTTGATCGGCGACCCTTGAACCAAGAGGTTACCAGTTTGTTACTGGGGGTTTGATTCCCAGTCAGGGCACATGTTAGGGTTGTGGGATCCATCCCCAGTAGGGGGAGTGCAGGAGGCAGCTGATTGATATGTTTCTATCTCTCTAAAAATAAAAACATTTAAAAAATGAAGATGGTGTAAGGAGCCTCTTGGACAACTTCAAACATACCAATATTCACATTATGGGAGTACCAGAAGGAGAAGAGACAGAGCAAGATATTAAAAACCTATTTGAAGAAATAATGACAGAAAACTTCCCCTACCCGGTGAAAGAAATAGACTTACAAGTACAGGAAGTAGAGTCCCAAACAAGAGGAACCCAAAGAGGCCCACATCAAGACACATCATAATTAAAATCCAAATGCTAAAGATAAACAGAGAATCTTAAAAGCAGCAAGAGAAAAGCAGTTAATTACCTACAAGGGAGCACCCATACAACTTTCAGCTGATTTCCCAACAGAAACTTTGCAGGCTAGAAGGGAATAGCAAGAAATATTCAGTGATGAATAGCAAGTACCTACAACCAAGACTACTGTACCCAGCAAAGCTCTCATTTAGAACTGAAGGTCAGACATAGCTTCACAGACAAAAAGCTAAATAGCTAATCACTACCAAACCAGTATTACATGAAATGTTGAAGGATATTCTTGAAGAAGAGAAAGAAGAGGAGGAAGAAAAGATAAAATATATGAACATTAAATAGCAATAAATATCTATCAACAATTAAATCTATAAATTAAAACAAATGAGAAATCTAATGAACAAAATAAACTGGTGAATAAAATAGAATCAGAGGCATGGAAACATGTAACAGTCTGATGAATCTCAGAGGGAAGGGCAGTGAGGGGACAGGAAGAGATCTGCCAAAGATTGACATGCATATATTCATTACCTATGTTTGGGTAGAAACTGGTGCAGGGAAGCAATGGGGGGCCTTGGGGGGGGGGGGTCCTGTAATACCCCCAACAATAAAGATTTTTTTTAAAAGGCATAATTCGACAAACCAGTATTTTACAAATGACCAATGTAGGTTATTAAGTCATGCAAAAGTAGATCCATTCAAACTGCAAGATAGGTCAAACAAATTTTAATGTAACAGAACAGTACAAAGTTGAATAGTTTCAGATTTCACATTGCAACTAACTTTCAAGAAACTACCAGTTCTGAAGTTTTGGTAATGTAACAAAGAGGAGTATCCACAATTATCTGAAACTATTGAAATACTCTTCCAAATACGTGTGTGTGAAGCCAGATCTTTTCATACACTTCAAAGTGCCACATTACAACAGATTGAATGCAAAAGCAGATACGAGAACCCATCCGATTTATAAAATCAAAGTCAATGCTCTTTAGTTTTGGAAAATAATCTTTTTATAAAACAATGCTCTTTATGTTAACAGGTAATGGTGTTGTTGTTTTTTAATACAATAAATATCAATAGATATAACCCTCAAAAGCAAAAGTTCTTTGGGATCCTCAACTTTTAAGAATATAAATGTTTGAGAACAGTGGGACTAGGAAATTCATATTAGTAAACACGAGTTTTTTGCTAACTCACGCATTATTTGTATTTCAAGGGCCACTAAACTCCCAGAGAAAGGTTAAAGTGGTATAAAAAATGTTTGGAAGTGGAGAAGGGTTTAATTAGTATTGTCTTATATAGTTTAGTTAATTCTTCCCTGGAATTAAAATTTAACTGCACAGTTCTGTACAAAACATTTCACAATATTCTAACTATATAAAATGTTTAAAATAACATTCAAAACTGGACTTTTATTTTTAAAAATCATACCAAGTAGTAATATGTCACACTGTTTTTATCAATTCTTTATTTAGGTAACAAGTTGGTTATGTTCACTGCATTGTATGAAACATCACAATATCATACTGGAAAGGTACTGTCAGTACAGGATTGGATCAGAGTGGACAGTTGAACAATAAACCATTTTTTGCATTCTTCATTCCCTCTCTTTTAACAACCCTTAAACCCAGTAAAGGGACAAATAGCTTTTAACATCATCATGTAAAGCACTTTAACTTACAAGGCTAAAATCTAAAGAATAAATAAAATATATTGTGGCAATAATTCTTTTAGGCCAAAAATCAGGTGCACAATAAATCGAATGATCAAGGAAACTGTCTGTCTGTATTCAAATGTGTGGCTCTCCAGAAACAGCTTCAGGGAAATGTTACAGAAAATACCATGAATTCCACTGCACACAGGACCAGATGATGACTCATTTTAACTACACACAAAGGCAATTACATCCCGCTGAAACACAATTTAAACATACAGGAAAGTGTTTACAAAGCATCCACAACATGTAAACCATGTACAAATGGATACATTCATTGCTTCTCCTACCCCAATAGCTTTTAGATAAATATTTTACTCTTCATGTTCAGCATTAATTGGATACATGCAAAACTCAAAAAGAATTCAAGAATTCAAGGTTATTGTAAAAATAGAATTAAATGAATAATCTTCAAGTACCTTATGTGACAGCCACTCTGTACCGTGCCCAATGTTATAAAATGAAAGGTTACTGAACCCATGAAAATATCTCTGTAATATTTCCTTAGTTCTAAAATAGATAATTTTAAATGTATTTATAGTCATTTCAATGTGATATTCTGAGCTTTTAAAATAACGTAAACAATTAAAATTTATACCAAATTACACAAAACTTTTTGTATCTTAAAAGCTGAAAAATTAAAACTATAGAAACCCACATGTAAATCAAAAATCACAATTTATATTATAAAAGCAAATCTCATCATTTAAAAAATTTGCAGCAATGAGATGTCTAAGCAAATTATAAATAGCCATAAATTAATCCATTTGGTTTCAAAGATTTTCTGGTGTGTGTTGAAGGATATAGGAGACACATGCATAAAATTTTTAAGGGTTTATAATATTATTGCCAAATACACTTATCTTAAAGCAGGCAACATTACAATTTGGACATTATTGAAGAACCCAGTTTGGTAATACAGGTGAAATTGGAAAAAAATTAAGTAACAATTAATAAATATATACCCTATAGTAGATTGCCCAAATGAAATTTTAAGCCAGACCTGCAAAAGGCTTTCAACTTGGTGAATTGAAAAAAAGAACATCTCATATAATTCTTTACTCTTACATGCTTATATGTTGTGTGTCTTGTTTAAAAAAAAACCACAAAAAAAAACCATAATGTATCTTCAAAGTACAGCTAACTATATTCCCATGCACCTCAGGCACAATTATTACTTGTGGTGAAATAACTCCATTGGTTTTTAGGGCCAATAGTTCAATACAGATGGAATTAGTATGCCTGAGGTTGGCAAAAATACTGTAGTACAGGCAATGCTACAAGTGGCAATTATCAGAAAACACAAATATGAACAAATGATGGGAAATGCTAATGATTTTCTGCTCATATCACAAAACGTTGGGAATCCACAAGAATATTTTTCCCTTGTATTGAAGAAAATGTGATTAAAAGTTTTTCCCCCAATTTTCAGAATCAAAAGCATTTTAGAAGTTTATAAGGCTACCATGGGTCTTCTAGATCTCCAGCACCCTACAGGAAAAGAAAAGGAAGAATATTATTATTATTTACCTATACCACTTCCAGGTTGGATTGAATTTCAAAAGAAAACAAAATTAGATGAACAAATTACCTTCTTTTGTTTGAAAAGATACTTTTATAGAGAGATGTGTGTATTGTACATTGTGTGTATACACAAAGATTTATCCAATATGGATAGGTAACTGGTTGTTTTTTTCTCCCCTCTCCACCAAATGCCTTCCTTTTAAACCACTTAAATGAATTTCAGAATTGGAAAAATAGATCAAAACATCAGCTACCTCCAATGATTCCAAAGTTTCAACTTATGATACCTTTACCAACTTTAGACACATGATAAATATAAACATGAAGTTAATTATCTACATTCACAAAATAATTGTTTTAAGAAATAGTTTCCCACGTGACTAATAGTTATCTGTATTTAAAAATCAATTTTAACAAAAACAAAACTCGTATCTGCCACTATTTAAAATACCCTGTAATTCTTGCAATTAATAATATCTGATGAAGACTTATAGCAAAGTCGACAGTCTTGCAATCTTCATCATGGCAATTTTCTGACATGTCTATGTGTATCCATTCTGCCCTATGATTAATATTGTGTACCATAAAAAGGGAATAAGAAACAGACTAGATTTTCTTTAGGCAAGACTTCTCAAAAATATTTTCCTTTTAGTTAATGAAAAAAAGCCAAATCAATAGTTTTCTAAATTTTATATAAATACAAATGAATTTCTAATGGGTATTTTTTCCAATATACCAAACCTGTTGTAAAATAAAAATTAAAAAAAAAGTACAACATGCATAGATTATTCCATATCACATGCTTTATTTGGACTTAAACACTTATAGTTTCATTCTGAACACTTGATTGACATATATTTTGATGTATGTGTGTAGTTAGGCTATACAGAATATACAAATCAATTCTATACTTATAATACACAGATTTTCAAACATTATTTTTCATAAAGAATACAGAGAAAGGAAAATTAACTACATATCCAAATAGCTTAGAACATCTAAAAATAAAACTACAGAAATGTAAAAATATAAACAAGTCAAAAAACACACATTATCATCCTTGAAAGAAAAAATTACAGGCCAGCATCTGCTATTCTTTGAAGAACTAAAATTACTAAAGAAAACACAAATTTATTACAAATTTATTACTATGAGTATACTAATATGTAAAATACTGTGAGGCAGTAAAATTCTACATTAACAAGTTTTTCCACAACATATTGTAATCTTGCTAATCAATAACCTTTAAACCTATCTAGTATGAATTTAACTACTGATTTTAATAATTGGTAGCCTCATTTCTGGCATACAATATGAAATAACAATTTTATTAAATTCAAAGTATATAAACAGCCAATTTTAACCTATCTGATAAAGGTGTATGCAAAGGCCTTCTTAAAAAACAAGGCTATATGAATATTAATAAAACTAGTTTACCAAGATTCAAATAACAAAATCGTTATATAAATGCACACATTGTACTTCCTAAGTAAAAACCATCAAATCAAAGATCACAAAAATATCCCCACAAATTAAAGTCATACTTTTTCATCACCCAAGTTTGTCCCTGCATCTTCATTACAGCTGTCTAAGTCAGCAAGATCACTTCCTGATTCAGTATGGCTTTCCTGCATTGTCACTGGGTTTCCAGCATCATTGTTCGAGGAAGTAGCTGCAGCAGCTGGTACAGCAGGGCTTTCTTATCCCTCTACTTTAGCTAGCCTGTAACTAGACAGCATCTCCTCCAGAAGTTGTCGGTAGTTTCCCCTATGATTAATTCTCATTTGCCTGAGAGCTTCCACCAATTTTCCCTGTGATCCACTCTCCTCTGCATCATCGGAGGCCTTTTTTTAAGATTCAAGACCCCAGTGTCAGTAGACAAACTAGGATATCACATGTATTTCATAACACATCATAGCAAAACACTCATTTTTCTGCCATGAGTAATATAGTGTAAGCATGAGAACATTTCATTAAATAAGTATCAAGTCTTACTTGTGTCAAATAATAAAAATTTATAATAAAAATATCTCAAGTTATTTTTAGCAAATTACCATTAACTAATTTATGTCTCATATCACATTATAATTTGAAGTTTAACCTGAAGTTTACTCTGCGCTATTAGAATTCAACAGCAACACAAGCATTTCCTGAAAGTGACTTACTTTAAAACACAATTGGCTATAATGATTTAGTATAAAAGGGAAATTAGTGTGTAAAGCAATAGGAATGGACAGAAAAGCAGGCATTAGAACATTAGTTTCTCTGTGATTTCTGCTAAATGACATGTAGGAGAGGAGATAAAAAATGTTAAACTATATAAAAGGAAATCGAATTTTGGGGAAATATTAAAATTTTCATGGATAAAAATTTTAGTTGCAATTTTGTCTTTAAAGAATTTAATAAAACATTTGTAAAAATAGACTAATCATTTTAAACATTACAATAAGGTATGAATAGCAAACTCCTTATCCTTTTATATTTTATTAAATTTGGGGAAACCTACAGCTTTCTACAATAGCAGCTACTGATTCTTGTTGGTGGAACAAGCTCTAACATCCAAGCTAATTAAAGTTAAGCTGAAAGAGTAAATGCCAGACAATCTTACATTATATGCCACCTGATGTGATGAATTAGGGCATACAGGGCCATGTCCTGTGTTCTTGCCAAAAATATTTAAAATAAATCTAATAAAACCAATTACTATTTTACAGGAAACAGAGAATAGAGAATCAAGTTAAAGGACAACACAAGGAAATAATCATTATTCTGAATGTAGGACATCCTATAAAAAGCTGGCTCAGATTCTTATTTAGTGTCAAGGGGGGAAAAGTATGGTCTTGATTAAAAACTTGCTTAACCCTTTTCGGTCCAACCTCGAGGCTGACTCGACAGACCAGGCACTAGGAGCAGGTCCAACGTCGAGCAATAAGAACATTAAAAAGTTCAACATTCAATCCCATCAATTAATTTGGACCAGACTGTTAGAATTCCAAAAATAACATTGGACCGCAAAGGGTTAAAATGCTTGAATGATAACTTAATAACCTGATTAGACTTTGGTTCAAAATAATAACTATAATAGTCATTCTAGGGACAACTGGGACTTGATATTAAATTTATTACTAATTTTCTTAGTATAAGATTATGCTCATGTAGAAAAATGTCATTTTTTTTTAAAGATTTAAAAAATTGATTTTAGAGAAAGAGGAAGGGAGAGAGAGATGGAAACATCAATGATGAGAGAGAATCATTCATTGGCTGCATCCTGCATGCCCCTACTAGGGATCAAGCCCAAAACCCAGGTGTGTGTCCTGACTAGGAATCGAACCAGCAACCTTTTGGAGCATGGGACGACACCCAATGAACTAAGCCACACCGGCCAGGGCAAAATGTCCACATTCTTAAGAGGTACATGCCAAAATAGAGGTAACATATTATGATGTCTGCAATTTGCTGTCAAAGGTTTAGTAAAAAAAAAAAAAAAGCCACACAAACAAAAACAACCAGTAGCCCTGGCCAGGTGGCTCAGTTGGTTGGAGCATCATCCCATACACCAAAAGGTTGTGGGTTCAGTTCCTGGTCAGGGCACATACTTAGGTGATAGGTTCAATCCCCGGTTGGGTGCATCCAGGACCCAACGATGTTTTTCTCTCACATCAATGTTTCTCTCTCTCTCTCTCTCTCTCTCTCTCAAATAACATATCCTCAGTGAGGATTAAAAAAAAAGGTAGTGTACACACACACACACACACACAAAGAGATAAAGCAAATACGGTAAAACGTTAACTATTGTTGAATCTAGGTAGAAGGTATTCATCATGCTCATTTCAACTTTTCTACAGGTTTGGAAGTTTTCATCATAAAATGTTGGAAAAATAAAATACAAAAATAGTTAATAATATAGATGATCCGGCACAAATTCTTAAACATCTTTGGAGACTAAAACTCTATAATTCTATGACAAAAATATACTAATAAGCACACAATAAAAGACAAAGTTTACAAGAAAAATGAGAGTACCTAAACACTTTTTATAAAAAGTACCATGTGGCAAAAAGCAAGAGATGATAACTCTGTATAGCATATGTTTATGTGTATATATGACTGTTTCTGTTACTGTAGGATATCATATACTAACTGCCTGGGTGGAAAAGAAATACAACAATATACAGGAATGGGCAAAAGTAGGTTTGCAGTTGTTTGTATGGAAAAAGACATGAAGGTTATGAGGTTATGATTATTACAATAGCTTTATTAACTCAAAAGAATGGCACAGTGGACTTATCTCGTAAGTGCTCAAATTGCTGGCCTTCACTATTTACACATTCTTATAGTCTCTAAAAATCCACCTGAGGTAGCTGAATTCAAACCTACTTTTGCCCACCCCTATATAAATAATGATAATGGGTAATGAAGTTACAAATGCTTGTTTTCTTTAAATTCTCTAATTTTTTATATCAAGCATATTAACTGTCAAAATAATTTTATTTGCAAAATTTATTGCGTGGTGAGAACATAAAATGTGTTCTGTTAATATTTTTCATATTTACCTTTCCTTCTGTACTAAATAAACATGTTTCCTAAATAAAGTTTCCCTTTTGAATCTATTCAGGAAAAGTTAAGATGGAACCATGATAAGTGCTTACTAATCATAAACTTTATCAGTCTTTAGTCAGGTCTGCCAAAAGGCAATTTTCTACTTAGTGGTAAATTACAAAGAACTTCTAATGAAGGGCAATCCTCTACCCCCATCTCCTGAAAACCTCAAAGCAAAAATAAAACAAAACACACACACTTCTAGGACACTGAAACAAAATCTTCTTCAATTGGGCAGTTGACTTACACATAGCAAAAGTGATTATCAACCCTGGTATTCACGTAAGAATCACCTCTGGAGCTTTTAAAATTGTACAGATAGCAAAGTTCCACCCCATTATATCCAGATTCAGTGGGTTGGGGTGATA